GCATTACTTCTTGAGTATTGTCACTTTTAAGATTTGCTGAAGAATATATGAATTAGGTAGAAGTTTGAAACTGTATCATTTCGTGCCAATTGTTTTTTCTTCTTTAATTCTTGCACTGGTGGTGTGGGTGTTTGGATTGTCTTTACAAGAGCAGTTTCTTTCTCAGTTTGGAGAATGAAACTGTTCAAATTATAATTTTCATTTGAGATTTAACATTTTGAACTTGTGAACAGTGACGTACACAACTTGAGGTCGGAAACTTTGCACCAACAGTATGAGCTGGTAAGAATTCGTCTCTTAAAACATTGTTATGGAACAAATAGAGATTTTTTTTTTCTTTTGTACAGGAAAGACCAGCTGTTTATTATTGTATGTTTAAATAAAAGAGATTGTCTGTATTTAGAGAGTCTTGGGGGTCTAGCCCAGAAATATCTAGATGTGATCCTGCTAGTTGCTAATGTCAATTCTTTGATTTCATTATGATGGCCCAGGTTAAAACGAGGACAGCAAATGACAATTCTGGCTTTGGTTCTCATGTCATGCAATATGGCGATGTAGGGCTCAGCAAGGAAAACCTCTTTGTGTATATGGGGACAAATCCTGCAAATGATAACTACACTTTTCTGGGCGAGAACTCCTTGAGGCCATCTACAAAAGCTGTCAACCAGCGGGATGCTGATCTTGTCCATTTCTGGCATAAGGTTTAACTCTTACCTTTTTCATCCGGGAATAGTTATTTTGCCTTTTCTTTTAAATATCTAGTCTTAAAAGTTATGTACTAGTCATAATCGGTACTTATATTTGGAAGTATTTCATACTGTTAGATATTATGATTGATATGATTAAAAGTCAGGAGAGATCAGTAATGATGATTGGGGAATACTCCATGTTTTCATTGTTTAAACGGTAACATATCATAAGTACCATGGAGGTTTTGGAACCATGCCATTTGCCCTGCTCTCCTGTGAAGCTCCAAACAAAGCAGTAGAATATCTCTGCTTGGAACAAGAATTTTGAATACCAAAAAGGGAATGAAACCAAGGTTTTGATTAAATAAAAGCCTTAATTGTTATGAAATTCTAAGGTTCTACTTCTGAATATTCTGTGGTTTTGTAACTATTTCTGTGTGTTAGCTGTCAGCCTGAAGATCTAAGCCCGTTGTTTTCCCTTGTTTTCTTTTTCTGGATGCAGTACCGCAAAGCTCCTGAAGGCTCACCAAGGAAAATTCAAGCTCAAAAGGATTTTGTTGAAGCAATGTCTCATAGAATGCATATGGATCAAACCATGAAGCTTATCGGGAAACTCCTGTTTGGAATCAAGAAAGGTCCAGAAGTGCTCAACACTGTTCGACCTGCTGGGCAGCCACTTGTTGATGACTGGGACTGCCTTAAGACAATGGTAAAACTTCAGCTGTTCATTTTCTCCTTAATGCTGTTAAAACTTTTCTGATTCCATCTTGTTCTGCATATAAAACAGATTTTCACAAATAATATATGTGGCTGTGCCTGATGGGTTTGTTTGTGCAGGTGAGGAGTTTTGAGACATATTGTGGATCCCTATCTCAATACGGGATGAAACACATGCGGTCCCTGGCAAACATCTGCAACGCCGGAATGACAAAGGAGCAGATGGCCGACGCTTCAGCACAAGCCTGCTCGAGCGTTCCTTCTAGCCGTTGGAGCTCCCTGCACCGGGGGTTCAGTGCATGATTTCACGAAGAAAAAAAAATGTGGGATTTGGATAACCAATCCGTGTTCATCTCTATATGCAAAACATATCTTAGGATGCATTTCGATGATTGTTAATGTTATTCTCATTGCTTCAGTGTAACCTTGTGTAAATACAACTCAAGCCCCTGTACTGTAATGCACGTACGTACTAAATCTTGTAAGTAAATATTAGCATGTTTGTTGCGTATGAATACGCGCCTGTTTGCCGCAGCTGGTGTACACATCAGGCTCTGGTTATAAAAAAGTTTGCGATTACGGTATGCCTCTATCTCATTCACCTCCACCGCTACCACCACATAATTATCGCATAACACTTTCAACATTATATCTATTTGAGTCATTATTCACAGTTACAATTTTTTTTAATTAAAATTTACCAAATAATTTTGACAATGCTTTTTGTACTAATAACACTTTAAAAGTATTGTAAATATAGAGCTGTTTTACTTTACAACTAATTATTTTCAAAGCACGGCAAAAAGTGACAGCAATCTCAAACTTACCTTCATTCTTGTTTGTCTCCAAATGGTAAACTGGTAACCTAGCTTTTGACCCCAAAAAAAAAATTAGTCATCTAGTGGGTCTTTTCATAGGATAATGTCATTATCATTGTGAGTATATTCCGTGTAATTCAGTTTTTCATATAGAATGAAAGATATCAATCGCGTTGGGAACTGGGAAAAGTTATAAATATTGAAGAGACGGATTTCCTCCCTCAATAAATGTAATTTATGAGTTTTCAAGAATTAAACGATGGATTTTAATATGGAACACACATAAATTTTTATGCATGATGTGGTGCATATTCATTTCACGTGTCAATGCCAATTATATTACATATTTTAATTGAACAATACTCACCACTTAACTTGACACATGCAAAATTATAGATGAGCTTGTAATTGTAACATTAAGATTCACACCAAAAACGAAACTCACAATGCAATATGGCAGTGTCCCATCCCATGGTCTCCCCAAGACTCACAACCCAACATTTTCTTTTTCTTTTTCTTTTTCTTTGATTTTTTTTTTATTTTTATAAAACGCAACCCAACTTTAAAATATGATCCATAATTGCGTATTGTCAAACCAACAGTGAAAACCAAAAAATGGGGAGCAGGAACCGACGCTCTAGATTCAACAATTTTATTTGGTCAACACACAAGTATTTAAGCTCGGCTTATATACGGTCTATAATCGGCCGCTGGAACCGGACATCAAGGACAATTGTCTGATAACGTTAAATCCACGACTCTGGTTAAACTTACCATGGTTAGTTCACTATAACCATACTACAACGAACCGGTTCACCAGAAAAATAAAATTAAAAAAAGGTCCAGGATGAATAAAAAAATAATTGGGTAATGCAAATTATTGCAACTTAACGGAGTAGTAGATTCTGTTAGATTCATTTGACGGCGCGAAGAGGGGGCGCATAGTAAGAACGTTGTAACGAGGTTTAAAAGAGACGGAGCTGACGGTTTAAGACAGGGAGACGCGGGAGCCGTTGGATTGTTGATCAAGGGCCGATAATGCAAGGCGTTAGACGGTTCAAGTGTGACGGAGAGTGGGAGGGTCGTATAAAGCCTGGGTTTTGAAAGGTGAGAGTGCATTTCGTTCCATCAAAACAAGAAGAAGAAAAAGGAAGAAGAAGGAGAAATAACTTCTCTGTCGTTTTGGCCTTCGGTTTTTCTTCTGCTTTAGAATTTAAAGAGGAATTCGGGAGAGAATTCGCAGAGCTGGACTGTGTGTAATGTTAAGGATCTAATTACGAAGCTTTTCTCTGAGCCTGTTGTGTGTTCGCGGGAGAGAGAAGGAGAGAAGAGCTTGCAGAGGTTGGTGATGGAGAAAACAGAGCTCGATTTTGGTAGTTTTAATGTAATCTGATTTCTTAGAATGACCGGGTTATTTTGTGCAATTTCTGTTTTGCAGATACATTCAGAAGAGCTTTGGGAGGAATTTGAAGTGAAATCGATTGCGATTTCCTGGGATAACTTCCAAGGTGGATCTCATTTCATTGAAATTTACAGAGAAAAGGTCTAGAAATCTAGTTTAGAGGTGAGGGGAGTTGGATTTGCTTAATTTCCTAAACGATTTCACTCCCCTATTCTAACTCATCGTTCGTTTGATTTTGGTTTCACAGGTACATTTCCAGGAGATTTGACCCCTTTTTTTTGAAGAAATCTCAACTGGGGTATGAGATAAAGAAGAACAAGCCTCTCCCGTTCATGAGTGTCAGGGACATAGGCTCGAAGTTTCAATCATTTCGTTGATTTTCGGCTCTAGATTTGCATTTTGCAAAGTCAGAAGGCCTAGAAGAGCAAGATTGCCCAAAAGAAGCAAACTTTCTTTTGCAAATTCAGGATTGTAGCTGCTTGCGAAATCTCAGTATAACAGGTGAGGATTCATTTTCCGAATCCTAGATCAGTGAAACCAAGTCTCGGGCTTAGGATTTCACTGGCTGATTTGATTTCCTTCCATTTTCGGTTCTTCGAATTTTGTTATCTTTCTACTCAATTTGGTTTCTTCAAGGAGGCTCTCACTTTTCTCTTATTTTTCCTCTTCTGCAGCAGAGTCCAAGCAATTGGTTTCTCTGTTTTTTGATTTTCGATGTTCAAAAGCAGATAACTTTGCAACAGAATTTTAAGCTTTTCAAATGAAGCCAGCCGAGTTCCTTGACTCTCTCTCTCTCTTTCGCGCTTGGTCTTACATTTGGATCCGTCTTGGGCTTGGAATATTTGTCCCTCATCTTCTTTCAATTTTCTGTCATCTGCCTTCTGTGCAAGAATTTTCAATTTCAAAAAACTAATTGACCTTTATATTTGGGAAGATTATCTCTTCCTCTTCGTCTTCTTCTTCCTCCTCCTCCTCCTCCTCCTCCCCATTTTAAAGGCTTTTAATATATTTTTCTGAATGATTTCCGTCTGTATTATCAGCATTGAAAAGAAAAGACCTTCTCTGCGAAATTTTACCCTCTGTTTTGTGAAAAATCTATTTTTGGTGTTCTTTGCTGGCAGTCCGAAGTTTGTGTTTTTTCCGAAATTCAAACACCAGCAGAGTACAAAATCTTCTGTTTGGTTCTCGGGAAACTGATACAAGAAAAAACTGAGCTAAGAGACGTAATTGCTCAACTTATTTAATCGCAATTCGTTGGAAGCGTCTGATAAAAAATTAAAAAAATCAAAGATACAATTTTCATTTTTTGTCCTTTCCCTGCATTTGTTTTTCGATCTTCATCTTCTCCGTCTGTTTGGGTAGGCCTTGCTTTTTATTTGAATTTTATTCCTAGGCACTCGCAGTTGCAGAGAGCCAGCCACAATCCAATTCCAGATTCTCAGTTTTTGCCATTTCCGTCCCTAACTTTAATTATGAGAATTAACTGCGGTTAAAATGTAAAAATCCATGTTAACCAACTAACTAACCGTTGTGATTAATTCTTGTTTTGGCATGGGTGGACAGGTGTGCAAAAGGAGATGGAAAGGGACTGTCTTAGGCACACCCATACTAAAGACACCCACAATCCCAACACTCGAGACAAAACCGGAGGGGACGCCTCAGCCTCTCTGCTGTTGAGAGCGAGCTCCGATGCCATACGACACGCAACGACGTCGTCCGATTTCGTTTTGCAGTGGGGGAACCGCAAGCGCCTCAGGTGTATGAAGATCCAGGTCAAGGACAAGGGCAAAGACGACTCCGACGCCCCGGTTACCCGAACCACAGTCCGGGTCGACCGCCGGGTCGTCCGACCCGATAAGGACCCGGCCAATCAGCCCTCCACCGCCGGGAACTCTAATCAGACGAATGGGTACTTGAATCTCCGTCGACGGCCGGGCCGCCCGCCGGGTCCCCCGCCCCGATAAGGCCCCGGCCAATCAGCCCCCCACCGCCGGTAACTCTAATCAGACGAATGGGTATTTGAATCTCCGTCAACGGCCGTTATCTCCGCAGCAGCCGCCACTTCAGCGTGTTCTCAGGTTTACCACTTGCACTTCACGCTTTTGCTTTATCTAATCTAATATCTATTGCTTCCACGGAACGTCGTTTCGGTCCTGCCTTTCGTTAAGATGTAGTTTCGTCGTTTTGTGGGGTAATTATGGTGGAGTATTGTCGTTTAAATTAGTGGCGGGTGGGCCAGGTGCGCGGGTTTTGTCGTTTTTAGTTATTTTGGGACTTGTTGCCTACGGTTACATCTGTACCGTTTTGGTGCGGTTTTTATGTATACCTTGATCTCACCGTCAGATGCATTAGTCATAATCATCAGATCAGGAGATTTTATATTCAGAATTGCTTGATTTTAGATTTTAGATTTGTGAGGAAAAATCTCAGACGATTGCGTGGCCAATTTCTCTACGTCTGTGAAGGTCAAAGAGAATAATTTTGTTAGGTACGTGTTTGTTGCTTTGATTAGATTATTTCATATGCAACAATATAGAGTGATTGCAAATTCTGTTATCTTCTTCCTTGTTTGGTTGAAGAGAAAACCTTGTTTGGGTGAAGGGAAAATCTCTGATTTTCTTGTGCAAATTTGTCGCTTTAGATAGGATTGATTTATATGAGTGGGACTGGATAAATGGATAAGGCTAGACAGCATGGAATTTTGTCCCACACCACTAGTTTTTTATATTCCTGGCCTGCCATTAACATGGCTGTGTTTAATCCTATGTGCTTAATGTGTAGTTTAATGAAATTTTGTCGGAGATTAGGAGTTTTAATGATGAAATTTGGGGCTGAATTTGTTGTGAGGCTTATCTTAATGATCCACTCTCCAATTGGTCAGGTGGGTGAAGAGATGTAAAAGCCAAGAAGGAGAGCTCATGGTAAGTGCATGAGGGTGCCTTCTTTGTTTGTCTTTGTAGGAAACTAACTACTAGCATATGATTGAATTAGGTTGCTCATGTGGTCATGTAATCTTTTTGGCTTGATTGTGGACAACATAAAACGCATTAACATAACAAACACCTTAAATTAGAGAAAGAGAGAGTCTTAGTGCCATAAGGTCGAGCATTTACCCTCACATTCACGGCAAGAGTTTGACTATTCCTCGTTAGTGTGTTTTTCAAGATGCGGTATTAAAATATAGTATCATACAGGATGGTGGATCAATAAGTTGATGTCGAGCATGATTGATTTGATCCTAGGTTTAGTTTTCTTTTTGGGAATGAATGCCTTATTTATTGTGATTGATTTGTTATTTATTTTTAGACATCATGTTACTGCTGATTGGATCATAAATCTAGCATGATTAGGCTTTGAGTAAATTGAATTCCACTAGGACTTGTAGCAGGCTTATTTTGCTCGTGGTCACACCGGATCGGAGCTCCACTGCATCTTAGCATGATAGCATCCGATCCATAACGACCGGCACCCTGATTCCATGGGCTCATTGGAAACAGAAAATGGGCAATTCCTATTCCACGTGTCCACCGAAAACCAATTCATCAACCTCGTTTCTAGCCGTCGGATCGCTGATGGATCAGGCAACGGATCCACTCCTTCCACGTTTCAACACGTGTTCCTTAACCCCACAAAAGGCACTCTCAATCCAACGGCTAAAATCCTGCCCAAAAACCAGCTGTGCACGTTATACAGTACATCACATCCCTTTCCTCTCTCTCTCTCTCTCTCTCTCTCCCTCTCTCTTTCTCTCTCTAAAATATCTGACTTTTCATTAAAGAAAAGAAAATTAACAACTCCCTCGTTTAAAAGCAGAATACAAAGGTCCCCTAAAGAAGCCAAAGACCACGCTAATTTTCTACGCAAAACCCATTACAAACTCTAAGCCTATCTCGCACTCTTTCTCCCCAATCCACCGATCTAGATCGCCCCAAGGCCATTCCCGTAATTTCACAACTGCCCACATAAATTTATTTTAATTTAATTTTTTGCCCAAAAAGTATCATTATTATGTTTTGTGCCTGCTTTTTTATGGGTTTATTGAATTCAATTGATTTGATTTGATTTGATTTTGATATGCGTATCTGAATTGTGTAGAAACTCAGAGACCACAACAAGTGCCATGAGAGGCCAGAGCAACGGAGGCTTGAGGGGAATTGTTTCACCCGACAACAGAGCGGGTGCGCACGATAAGAAAGGCAACCACCACCACCACCACCACCATAATAATGAGAATAACAACACCAAGTCTGCAGCCTCTTCGGACACGGCGCACGATAGTAAGAAGGGGGGAGGTGGGTCTTCATCGGGAAGCGGCGACGCAGCGTTGGTGCCACCGATGGTCTGGCCGCCGAAGTTCGTGATTGCTTTGACCAACAAAGAGAAAGAAGAGGACTTCATGGCAATCAAGGGGTCAAAATTGCCTCAGAGACCCAAGAAGAGAGCGAAGTTCATTCAACGCACCCTCAATGTAAGCTCCTCTATTTTCCTTTTTTAGTTACTTTATTTATTAATTAGCTTTTTTAATAATTTCTTTCTCTTTTTAAAATAACACCATTGCCCTGCAAAAACAAATCAAAACCCAGTTTGATTTGATTATATTTATATATTACCTTGTATTTATGCAAATTGTTGTTGTGACAAAATGCGGACTAGCTTAGAAAGGGTAGATTGCTTGGAAGGAAAAGCAAAAAAAAAAGAATAATAAATAGAACTTTCTGGTATTTGTTGAGTTTGGGTTAAAAGAAGCGAAAGAAGATTGCTAAAGTGACAGCAAGAACAAGGCACACACGTGTCCGCCAAGCCATGTGTGCATATACCTAATATGCCTAAAAGTAAGTTTGCTGCCCGACTGGAATAATATTAATAGGACGATGGTTTGGGTTAAGATTAAATTCTATATTATTCTTAATAATACGATAATGAAATATTTTATTTAGGGTCGCCTTGTTTAGTGGAAAACTGATGCGACACGTGGCAATACATGGTTGTTGCTTTTGGTTTTGTTATCGTGGTGGTGGTGGTGGTGATGATGGACGGTGCATGGCGTCTCATGTGGCCGCATGTGATTTAGTGGGCATCAGTGGACGTTTAAAGCAAGTGGGCCTTAATTCTTTACTAACCGACAAAAAAAAGGGCATATGGGTCCAAACGGACCCTGGGCCTGTTACCGTTGTTTTTTTTTTGGGGAAATAATATGCTTCGTGTTGAGGGCATATAGGTATTTTCACTCGCTTTTAATTATGCTGACTGTTTTCCGGCTTGGACCGCACTGCCAACTTGCTGAGCACAAAAGCACACGAAAGCACAACGCACAACGCACAACCCACAGCCCACAACGCACCGTTTTCGTTTTTTAAGTTCCAAACATAGCAAACTCATCAAAAGCTTATCAAAAAGCCTATCGCTTTTTGCCCACTACCTAAAGCAAAAGCTCCCCGCTGGCCAGTCTGTTTTTGCTTGTTTTGGCCTCTGCCTTTTAATTAGCTGGAAGATTATTGTTCTAATTAGTTTTTTATTTTCTGTAATTTTGTTTTATAGCTGGTAAGCCCAGGAGCATGGCTCTGTGATCTGACCCTGGAACGGTACGAGGTCAGAGAGAAGAAGATTTCCAAGAAGGTATTTAATTGAGTAATTTTCTTCAATTCAGGGGCCTAAATCAAATTTCCTTAATTTGCCTTTAATATTGATATTTTTATGCAGCAGAATGAATTGTTTTTTTTTTGTTTTTTTTTTGCATGATGCTGCAGAGACCAAGAGGGCTAAAGGCGATGGGCAACGTGGAGTCTGACTCTGAATAGAAAGGAGTTTTAGTGAAAAAACTAATATAGCATTTTCGTTTTTTTTCCCCTTCTTTTTTTGAAGGTATGAGAAAAATGTTAGAACCTTTGTAAAATCTTCACCTTTCAACCATCAGAATAATGAATGGATTCATTTCCGGTCCTGTATACATAGTCTTGTTTCTCATTTTCCTACTAAGTTTGTTTAATCTGAGCAAGAAGAAAAAAAAAACAAATCCACTTCCAGGCGCACGAACAAATGAAATTTCTCTCTTTCAAACCCGAATTGAGAAAAATAATTAAAATAAGCTTCAAGGCTGTAATTCCGTTGGTTAGTCGTGACATGTTATACAATCCAACAATTTTTTGTTTTCTTTTCAACCTACAACACATTTTCTTGTGTAGTGTTAAGTTAGAAAAGGTAATTAACAGTGTTGGATAGTCATCCAAGCGCACGTGAGTGTCTTATGATTGTTCATGTATTAACATATCGGTGGTCTTAGTCTCACATACATCAATGACGTACGGTGTAAGTGCTCATGACGCATGGGCAAAATCAGTTTCAGACTTCACCATCCGAGTGAAAAAGAAACTGAGACTCCATCGCTCTCAAGATGTGAAGAAAATCACAAAATTGACTCTTGAGACGAGATTTGAGACTCTTTAAAGGTTAGACTTCAAGAAGAAAGAAGAAAAAAAACAAACAATAACTCTCTTTAGCTGACACACGTAACGTAAAACCACAATATATGAATTTGCAAAGCTGTTCAAGATAATGACATCTAAAAATTTACCTAAGACAGAGAAAAACCAAAACCCCAACTCCCTGAAGTTACCTAGTCAATAGCAAATTGAAAGGCCACGTCTAATTTATAATGATAAGAGATAATATCATTGTTTGGTCGCATGATTTGTGGATTCCACTTTACATTATGTGGCCTCCCTAATTGGTATTTTGATGTGACACGGAACACTTGATGCGGTAATTTAATTTCTTAACGTCAATGACAATTTTAACGAAAACACGACTTATCATATAAGGCCACCAAACCAAACCCAACTGAATTAAACTATTGGAAGAGGAGAAAACATGGGTCCTAATTCAAATTAACATTCATAATTCACCATCATTGACGGGAAGACCTTAATTAATCCCCTTAATTATGCCACGAAGAAGCATAAACAGAGTCTAAGAATAACATCTGCTCTATGAGAGTTTGTGGAGACAGACAGATCCACCACCCACCATCCAGCTGGTTCTCAAAGGCAATTCTAAGGCTACCTGCGGGTCTTGAACAATTTTAATTAGCCCCCAAAAAAAAGCATGGAAAATACCCCCAATAGGCCCTAAATATACCCTTACAAATGGGCATATTTGTCAATAAACACTGACCACTGAAATTAGGTATTGTTTTCAGGACTCAAACCCGATTGCAATAGACGGTGACCCAGAGCCTATGGAATTATAAACTCATTAAGTGTTGCAGTTGGAAATACCGCTTTATTCTGTTAGAATAAATGATTAATAAACACTGACTTGGCTGGCTACGCCGCTCTTTTGGTCCATTATTTTTAAGGAAAGTGAAAATAAAATAATTGAGATCTGGAATTGTCATTTGCCGCTTTCTATTTGGAGTTAATGAAAATGAAATAACAATTTGGATATTGGTTAATTGTGATATCACAAGCTAAACAAACACCATGCTCAAAGCAACACAAGCATCAAACACAGGAGGAGGAGGAGGAGGAGGAGGAAGATGAAGGAAATAAAATCAATGAATTATTTACTCATAATAATGATAATAATCGAAATCCACAAATACAAAACCCATAGTAATAAACCAAGTGCATTATATATGTAGTCTACGCACCACAAAAACCCATACGACGCTGAAAATCCTATAGATCCATAATCACCCGCTACTAAAATGACAAACGCTACTAATAAAAAACCAAATCAGAAACCCAACCGCTCTCTACACATCCCCAACCATAGTTGCAGTAGTAAGCGAAGACTCAAACCCTGAGCGCAGATCCGAAGACGATAGCGGCGAAGGCGGCGGCGAAAGCAGAGATGAACGACGGGGAGATGGAGGCGGATGCGGAGGTTGGGCTCGGAGCTGGAGATTCGGCGGCCTGAGCGGCCCCGATGACAGAAAGGACGGTGACGAAGACCGCCATGAGAGCCACGAGTGAAGTTGCCTTTGAGACTGCCATTGTTGATTGGTGTGAGAGTTTCTTGTGCTTCGGAATCTAGGGTTTTGTGAATACGCAGAGAGACTGAGGCACAAATATCAGAGGTGGAATGAAGTTGGCTTGAGGAACGTATTTATAGCGGAGATTTTGGGCTGGGGTCGGGCAGCCTGGGCAGCTGCCCGGTTCTACAGGCTGGCTACTTCTGATTGGTTCAGCGCGACAGCTCACACCGCTGGTCGGGGTAAATTTTTCTTTGTGGGCCCCACTAAAAACCAGCGTCTACGCGGAGTCGTTTCAGACACGATTTTACCTTCCTCTGAAACGACGCCGTGTGTTCACATTCCTTAACGAAAGGGGTTTTCGCTTCGCAGCCGAGTCGACTCAGTGGAGAATACATTCGCGATAATGTTTTAGCTTGCGACGCGCGGATCAGATTCTGTCCGTACGGTGTCATTTTAGTCACATCACACGATGAACGGTCCAGATGAACCCGTGGGAATGGAAGAGGTTATAACGGCTTCGCGGTAAAAAAAATTGGTTTTTAATTTATTTTTAAACTTAAAAAATGGCCCACAATGCGCAATCAGGGAGATTACAACGCAGAAAACACAGCGAGAATGCGTCACTTTCTGGTGAGCGACACGATGGCCAACGGGCGATCGACACGTGGGGATTTCGAAAAAGACAGGTTGTTCAATTGCGAGGAAAAAGATACGACAGGTGTAGGGTGGGATTTGGTTCTGTTGCTTGTAATATTTTTATTTCGCGGGATTTCCAGAACATTCGCTTGGCATTTTGCGTTTTGGAGTTGAGGGGCGCACATGCGTGCGGGTGAAGTTACCGTAATGCCCTTAAGAATGATTGGGTTGCGTGTCAATTTTATATTCACGTTCATTATGAGGAGCTATGTGAGTATCTGCTTAAGAAAACTAAACGAATGTGGCGCTGAATGGGTTTGAAGTCCACTAATGTGTTCCAGGGCTTTTCAACATTTTGTTCCACATTCCATGCCGTGCCCACTGGCTAATGGGTTTGATGTGGGCCCAACATATTCTTTTCTCGTCAAATCCAAATAAAGAGGCCGAGTGTCACGGGAGCTCCTATAATCCGGGTCGGTTTATGTCGTCGAATGTTCAATTCAGCTGTCTAATAATAATACTTATATAGTGTTGTTGAACGAACCCTCAAATTAACTGAGTACACCTTATTACTAAATTATTTATTGAATTACTAATTTATTCTAGTATAAAATGACAAAAAATGATATTGAATTGTGAAACAAATGTAATGTTAATAAATACACCCTACTCTAAACAAATAAATAAAAATTACACCTTACTCACCATATTCAACCAAATTGAACTTTCTTTTTCTTTTTCTTTCCCTTTTTGGGGTTTGTTTGAGCAGGAATAACAAATGTGTCCAGAGATGGGTAAGTTAAGAATTAATCTTGGCCACCTTATGCTTGTTCTCAACTTTAAATATGGAGCCTGAATTGATCTGGCACCAAACAAGTAATATGATTAAAAATAATAATGTAAAGGTGGAGCCAATATATCAATAGATAACATTTCATTGAGGGTACTAAATAAACATTGGGCAGGCAAACCCTGCGATCAAGCATATCACTCAGTTTGGCTTCATCATCTGTTATCCCCGATTCTTCAATAGCCTTCAGAACAAGTTTTTTCAGTTTCCTCATCTTCAGGACTCCGTCGTTTTGCACCAATGCATACAAAAAGCAGATTTGAGTATATATATATATATATACACACACACACACAAACAAAGCTGTTTTAAGTTTTTATAATGATGTATTAGTGTGTATCAGAGGTATTTTTGGTAGTTAAATAGGGTGTACTTAGTTAATTTTACATTTTTGATCTAAATATTAGAGTGTATTTAGATCATAGTGTATACCTAGTTAATTTTAAAGTTCATTTAGCAACACTTTGATCGGACAACTATTAAAGACTCCCTCCCTATAGCCTCACACAAGTGGTACGCAGCATAAATGGGCATGTAAACCATAGAGGACCAAGCTATAGAACCGTTGACGCACGTAAGTTCCACAATACTGTTAATATACGTGCGGGCGACTACGAGTAACCGTTAACCTAGAGTCAGAGAAATGATATTCAAATATAAAAGATTTTATTCTAGTGTCGATTTCTGAATACAAAAATGTGAATTTGATGCGGTGCTAAATAAGGTGTGCTACTTCTCTGTACATCTGATACTGTTGTGGACAGGGGGGGTTTGGCCAAAGAGCTATCAAGTGAACCTCAACTAATAATAATATTACATCTGAGGTTGAATTCTATGATGACAAATAATACACACCACAAACAGGGAATTTTGCATGCTCTTCGGCTCGAGAAGTTTGATTTGACTGAGGGTTTATGTGTTAGAAGCCCAAAAACTTTGGTGCTAAATGCAGAAGAGGTTCCATAGCACTTGGAGCAAATTTTCTTCCAAAAAGAAAGCAGATTGAAGAGTTCCGGTCGTTGTAAGTGCAGCGATGACCCTCGAGCATTCTCTTGAAGAATTCCTCACTGATATCAGCTCTTCCAAAGGTAGCTGGGTGAGGTCCACCCCTTGACCAATCCACCCAAGTGATGCTTCTGTTTGCTAAGGAATTCCCTGCTTGAATGGTTAGCATGGTGGGGAAATAGTGCTCATCAACGTAACATGCGGGTCTACAGAACTTTTCAAATTTTGGGTAAAACGTTGTATCTTCAACAATGCTGATGGCAAGCTTCCGGTTAACTTCAAACCATTGGGAGCCCTTGCGCCACTGGGTTATATTCACTTCAGGTGCCATGTTATTATTATAGCGTCCTCTCCCGAATGGCCCAGGGTCGTCAAATGCACCGATGAAGCTGTACTTGGATTTCATTAAGTAGTGGTAAATGACACTGAAGTTATAGAGCGGAATGCAAGATTCGGAAACAAGAATGAACCATTCATTGGATA